GGTCATGGTTGTTGTTGTTGTGGTGGTCATGGTTGTTGTTGTTGTTGTGGTCATGGTGGTTGTTGTTGTGGTGGTCATGGTGGTTGTTGTTGTTGTGGTGGTCATGGTTGTTGTTGTTGTTGTGGTGGTCATGGTGGTTGTTGTTGTTGTGGTGGTCATGGTTGTTGTTGTTGTTGTTGTGGTGGTCATGGTTGTTGTTGTTGTTGTGGTCATGGTGGTTGTTGTTTTGGTGGTCATGGTTGTTGTTGTGGTGGTCATGGTTGTTGTTGTGGTGGTGGTCATGGTTGTTGTTGTTGTGGTGGTCATGGTTGTTGTTGTTGTGGTGGTCATGGTTGTTGTTGTTGTGGTGGTCATGGTTGTTGTTGTTGTGGTGGTCATGGTTGTTGTTGTTGTGGTGGTCATGGTTGTTGTTGTGGTGGTGGTCATGGTTGTTGTTGTTGTGGTGGTCATGGTTGTTGTGGTGGTCATGGTTGTTGTTGTGGTGGTGGTCATGGTTGTTGTTGTTGTGGTGGTCATGGTGGTTGTTGTTGTTGTGGTGGTCATGGTTGTTGTTGTTGTGGTGGTCATGGTTGTTGTTGTTGTTGTGGTCATGGTTGTTGTTGTGGTGGTGGTCATGGTTGTTGTTGTTGTGGTGGTCATGGTTGTTGTTGTGGTGGTGGTCATGGTTGTTGTTGTGGTGGTCATGGTTGTTGTTGTGGTGGTCATGGTTGTTGTTGTGGTGGTCATGGTTGTTGTTGTTGTGGTGGTCATGGTTGTTGTGGTCATGGTTGTGGTTGTGGTCATGGTTGTGGTTGTGGTGGTCATGGTTGTTGTTGTGGTGGTCATGGTTATTGTTGTTGTGGTGGTCATGGTTGTGGTGGTGGTGGTCATGGTGGTTGTTGTTGTGGTGGTCATGGTTGTTGTTGTGGTGGTCATGGTTGTTGTTGTTGTGGTGGTCATGGTTGTGGTTGTTGTGGTGGTCATGGTTGTTGTTGTGGTGATGGTCATGGTTGTTGTTGTGGTGATGGTCATGGTTGTTGTTGTGGTGGTGGTCATGGTTGTTGTTGTGGTGGTGGTCATGGTTGTTGTTGTGGTGGTGGTCATGGTTGTTGTTGTTGTGGTGGTGGTCATGGTTGTTGTTGTTGTGGTGGTGGTCATGGTTGTTGTTGTGGTGATGGTCATGGTTGTTGTTGTGGTGGTCATGGTTGTTGTTGTTGTGGTGGTCATGGTTGTTGTTGTGGTGGTGGTCATGGTTGTTGTTGTTGTGGTGGTCATGGTTGTTGTTGTTGTGGTGGTCATGGTTGTTGTTGTGGTGGTCATGGTTGTTGTTGTTGTGGTGGTCATGGTTGTTGTTGTTGTGGTGGTCATGTTTGTTGTTGTGGTGGTGGTCATGGTTGTTGTTGTGGTGGTGGTCATGGTTGTTGTTGTGGTGGTGGTCATGGTTGTTGTTGTGGTGGTGGTGGTCATGGTTGTTGTTGTTGTTGTGGTCATGGTTGTTGTTGTTGTTGTGGTGGTCATGGTTGTTGTTGTTGTTGTGGTGGTCATGGTTGTTGTGGTGGTGGTCATGGTTGTTGTTGTGGTGGTGGTCATGGTTGTTGTTGTTGTTGTTGTTGTGGTGGTCATGGTTGTTGTTGTTGTGGTGGTCATGGTTGTTGTTGTGGTGGTGGTCATGGTTGTTGTTGTTGTGGTGGTCATGGTTGTTGTTGTGGTGGTCATGGTTGTTGTTGTTGTTGTGGTGGTCATGGTTGTTGTGGTGGTCATGGTTGTTGTTGTGGTGGTCATGGTTGTTGTGGTGGTCATGGTTGTTGTTGTCGTGGTCATGGTTGTTGTTGTGGTGGTGGTCATGGTTGTTGTTGTTGTGGTGGTCATGGTTGTTGTTGTTGTGGTGGTCATGGTTGTTGTTGTTGTGGTGGTCATGGTTGTTGTTGTTGTTGTTGTGGTGGTCATGGTTGTTGTTGTTGTTGTTGTGGTGGTCATGGTTGTTGTTGTTGTTGTGGTGGTCATGGTTGTTGTTGTTGTTGTGGTGGTCATGGTTGTTGTTGTTGTTGTTGTTGTGGTGGTCATGGTTGTTGTTGTTGTTGTGGTGGTCATGGTGGTTGTTGTTGTTGTGGTGGTCATGGTTGTTGTTGTTGTTGTGGTGGTCATGGTTGTTGTTGTTGTTGTGGTGGTCATGGTTGTTGTTGTTGTGGTGGTCATGGTTGTTGTTGTGGTGATGGTCATGGTTGTTGTTGTGGTGGTCATGGTTGTTGTTGTTGTGGTGGTCATGGTTGTTGTTGTGGTGGTGGTCATGGTTGTTGTTGTTGTGGTGGTCATGGTTGTTGTTGTTGTGGTGGTCATGGTTGTTGTTGTTGTGGTGGTCATGGTTGTTGTTGTTGTGGTGGTCATGGTTGTTGTTGTTGTGGTGGTCATGGTTGTTGTTGTGGTGGTGGTCATGGTTGTTGTTGTGGTGGTCATGGTTGTTGTTGTTGTGGTGGTCATGGTTGTTGTTGTTGTGGTGGTCATGGTTGTTGTTGTTGTGGTGGTCATGGTGGTTGTTGTTGTTGTGGTGGTCATGGTGGTTGTTGTTGTTGTGGTGGTCATGGTTGTTGTTGTTGTGGTGGTCATGGTTGTTGTTGTGGTGGTGGTCATGGTTGTTGTTGTTGTGGTGGTCATGGTTGTTGTTGTGGTGGTGGTCATGGTTGTTGTTGTGGTGGTCATGGTTGTTGTTGTTGTGGTGGTCATGGTTGTTGTTGTTGTGGTGGTCATGGTTGTTGTGGTCATGGTTGTTGTGGTCATGGTTGTGGTTGTGGTGGTCATGGTTGTTGTTGTGGTGGTCATGGTTATTGTTGTTGTGGTGGTCATGGTTGTGGTGGTGGTGGTCATGGTGGTTGTTGTTGTGGTGGTCATGGTTGTGGTTGTTGTGGTGGTCATGGTTGTTGTTGTGGTGGTGGTCATGGTTGTTGTTGTGGTGGTGGTCATGGTTGTTGTTGTGGTGGTGGTCATGGTTGTTGTTGTTGTGGTGGTGGTCATGGTTGTTGTTGTTGTGGTGGTCATGGTGGTTGTTGTTGTTGTGGTGGTGGTCATGGTTGTTGTTGTGGTGGTGGTCATGGTTGTTGTTGTTGTGGTGGTCATGGTTGTTGTTGTTGTGGTGGTCATGGTTGTTGTTGTTGTGGTGGTCATGGTTGTTGTTGTTGTGGTGGTCATGGTTGTTGTTGTTGTGGTGGTCATGGTTGTTGTTGTTGTGGTGGTCATGTTTGTTGTTGTGGTGGTGGTCATGTTTGTTGTTGTGGTGGTGGTCATGGTTGTTGTTGTGGTGGTGGTCATGGTTGTTGTTGTGGTGGTGGTCATGGTTGTTGTTGTGGTGGTCATGGTTGTTGTTGTGGTGGTGGTGGTCATGGTTGTTGTTGTTGTTGTGGTCATGGTTGTTGTTGTTGTTGTGGTGGTCATGGTTGTTGTTGTTGTTGTGGTGGTCATGGTTGTTGTGGTGGTGGTCATGGTTGTTGTTGTGGTGGTGGTCATGGTTGTTGTTGTGGTGGTGGTCATGGTTGTTGTTGTGGTGGTGGTCATGGTTGTTGTTGTGGTGGTGGTCATGGTTGTTGTTGTGGTGGTGGTCATGGTTGTTGTTGTGGTGGTGGTCATGGTTGTTGTTGTTGTGGTAGTCATGGTTGTTGTTGTTGTGGTGGTCATGGTTGTTGTTGTTGTTGTTGTGGTGGTCATGGTTGTTGTTGTTGTTGTTGTGGTGGTCATGGTTGTTGTTGTGGTAGTCATGGTTGTTGTTGTGGTGGTCATGGTTGTTGTTGTGGTGGTCATGGTTGTTGTTGTGGTGGTCATGGTTGTTGTGGTGGTGGTCATGGTTGTTGTTGTGGTGGTGGTCATGGTTGTTGTTGTGGTGGTGGTCATGGTTGTTGTTGTTGTGGTGGTGGTAGTCATGGTTGTGGTGGTGGTTATGGTTGTTGTGGTGGTCATGGTTGTTGTTGTTGTGGTGGTCATGGTTGTTGTTGTTGTTGTGGTGGTCATGGTTGTTGTGGTGGTGGTGGTCATGGTTGTTGTGGTGGTGGTGGTCATGGTTGTTGTTGTGGTGGTGGTCATGGTTGTTGTTGTGGTGGTGGTCATGGTTGTTGTTGTTGTGGTGGTCATGGTTGTTGTTGTTGTGGTGGTCATGGTTGTTGTTATGGTGGTGGTCATGGTGGTTGTTGTTGTTGTGGTGGTCATGGTTGTTGTTGTGGTTGTGGTCATGGTTGTTGTTGTGGTTGTGGTCATGGTTGTTGTTGTGGTTGTGGTCATGGTTGTTGTTGTTGTGGTGGTCATGGTTGTTGTTGTTGTGGTGGTCATGGTTGTTGTTGTTGTGGTGGTCATGGTTGTTGTTGTTGTGGTGGTCATGGTTGTTGTTGTTGTGGTGGTCATGGTTGTTGTTGTTGTGGTGGTCATGGTTGTTGTTGTTGTTGTTGTGGTCATGGTTGTTGTTGTTGTTGTTGTGGTGGTCATGGTTGTTGTTGTGGTGGTCATGGTTGTTGTTGTTGTTGTTGTGGTGGTCATGGTTGTTGTTGTTGTTGTTGTGGTGGTCATGGTTGTTGTTGTTGTTGTTGTGGTGGTCATGGTTGTTGTTGTTGTGGTGGTCATGGTTGTTGTTGTTGTGGTAGTCATGGTTGTTGTTGTTGTGGTGGTCATGGTTGTTGTTGTGGTGGTCATGGTTGTTGTGGTGGTGGTCATGGTTGTTGTTGTGGTGGTGGTCGTGGTGGTCATGGTTGTTGTTGTGGTGGTGGTAGTCATGGTTGTTGTTGTTGTTGTTGTGGTGGTGGTAGTCATGGTTGTTGTGGTTGTTGTGGTGGTCATGGTTGTTGTTGTTGTGGTGGTCATGGTTGTTGTGGTGGTGGTGGTCATGGTTGTTGTGGTGGTGGTGGTCATGGTTGTTGTGGTGGTGGTGGTCATGGTTGTGGTGGTGGTGGTCATGGTTGTTGTGGTGGTCATGGTTGTTGTTGTTGTGGTGGTGGTCATGGCTGTTGTTGTTGTTGTGGTTTTTGTTGTTGTTGTGGTGGTGGCAGGCAACGGGACGCTCAACAAACACGCTGGCATCGACCTCAAGCAGATCCAGCTGCAGGGCAAACTTCACTCTAACCAGTCTGGCGAGGTGTGTGTCACTATCACTCTGTGTGTCACTATCACTCTGTGTGTCACTATCACTGTGTGTGTCACTGTGTGTGTGTCACTATCACTGTGTGTGTGTCACTATCACTGTGTGTATCACTGTGTGTCACTGTGTGTGTGTCACTATCACTGTGTGTGTGTCACTGTGTGTGTCACTGTGTGTGTCACTGTGTGTGTGTCACTGTGTGTGTCACTGTGTGTGTGTCACTATCACTGTGTGTGTGTCACTATCACTGTGTGTATCACTGTGTGTGTCACTATCACTGTGTGTGTGTCACTATCACTGTGTGTATCACTGTGTGTATCACTGTGTGTGTCACTATCACTGTGTGTGTCACTATCACTGTGTGTGTGTCACTGTGTGTGTATCACTGTGTGTGTCACTATCACTGTGTGTGTGTCACTGTGTGTGTATCACTGTGTGTCACTATCACTGTGTTTCACTATCACTGTGTGTGTCACTGTCACTGTGTGTGTGTGTCACTGTGTGTGTCACTATCACTGTGTGTGTGTCACTGTGTGTCACTATCACTGTGTGTGTCACTATCACTGTGTGTGTATCACTGTGTGTGTCACTATCACTGTGTGTGTGTGTGTCACTGTGTGTGTCACTATCACTGTGTGTGTGTGTCACTGTGTGTGTCACTATCACTGTGTGTGTGTGTCACTGTGTGTTTCACTATCACTGTGTGTATCACTGTGTGTGTGTGTGTCACTGTGTGTGTCACTGTGTGTGTGTCACTGTGTGTGTCACTGTGTGTGTGTCACTGTGTGTCACTATCACTGTGTGTGTGTCACTGTGTGTGTCACTGTGTGTGTCACTGTGTGTGTGTCACTGTGTGTGTCACTGTGTGTGTGTCACTATCACTGTGTGTGTGTCACTATCACTGTGTGTATCACTGTGTGTGTCACTATCACTGTGTGTGTGTCACTATCACTGTGTGTATCACTGTGTGTGTCACTATCACTGTGTGTGTGTCACTATCACTGTGTGTATCACTGTGTGTGTCACTATCACTGTGTGTGTGTCACTATCACTGTGTGTGTGTCACTGTGTGTGTATCACTGTGTGTGTCACTATCACTGTGTGTGTGTCACTGTGTGTGTATCACTGTGTGTCACTATCACTGTGTTTCACTATCACTGTGTGTGTCACTGTCACTGTGTGTGTGTGTCACTGTGTGTGTCACTATCACTGTGTGTGTGTCACTGTGTGTCACTATCACTGTGTGTATCACTGTGTGTGTCACTATCACTGTGTGTGTATCACTGTGTGTGTCACTATCACTGTGTGTGTGTGTGTGTGTCACTGTGTGTCACTATCACTGTGTGTGTGTGTCACTGTGTGTGTCACTATCACTGTGTGTGTGTGTCACTGTGTGTTTCACTATCACTGTGTGTATCACTGTGTGTGTGTGTGTCACTGTGTGTGTCACTGTGTGTGTGTCACTGTGTGTCACTATCACTGTGTGTGTGTCACTGTGTGTGTGTCACTGTGTGTGTGTCACTGTGTGTGTGTCACTGTGTGTCACTATCACTGTGTTTCACTATCACTGTGTGTGTCACTGTCACTGTGTGTGTGTCACTGTCACTGTGTGTTTCACTGTCACTGTGTGTGTCACTGTCACTGTGTGTGTCACTGTCACTGTGTGTGTGTGTCACTATCACTGTGTGTGTCACTATCACTGTGTGTGTCACTATCACTGTGTGTGTCACTGTCACTGTGTGTGTGTCACTGTCACTGTGTGTGTGTCACTGTCACTGTGTGTGTGTCACTGTCACTGTGTGTGTGTCACTGTCACTGTGTGTGTGTCACTATCACTGTGTCACTGTGTGTGTCACTATCACTTTGTCACTGTGTGTGTCACTATCACTGTGTTTCACTATCACTGTGTGTGTCACTGTCACTGTGTGTGTGTCACTGTCACTGTGTGTGTCACTGTCACTGTGTGTGTGTGTCACTATCACTGTGTGTGTCACTGTCACTGTGTGTGTGTCACTGTCACTGTGTGTGTCACTGTCACTGTGTGTGTGTCACTGTCACTGTGTGTGTGTCACTGTCACTGTGTGTGTGTCACTGTCACTGTGTGTGTGTCACTGTCACTGTGTGTGTGTCACTATCACTGTGTCACTGTGTGTGTCACTATCACTTTGTCACTGTGTGTGTCACTATCACTTTGTGTGTCACTGTGTGTGTGTGTCTCTGCGTATCTCTGTGTGTGTGTCTCTGTGTGTGTCTGTGTGTCTCTCTGTGTGTCTCTGTGTGTCTCTCTGTCTGTGTGTCTCTGTGTGTCTCTGTGTGTAGCTGTGTCGAGCTCGCTGGCAAGGTAACGACGTGGTGGTGAAGATGTCTCTGTGTGTGTGTGTGTCTCTGTGTGTGTCTGTGTGTGTCTCTGTGTGTCTGTGTGTGTCTCTGTGTGTCTCTGTGTGTGTGTGTCTCTGTGTGTGTCTGTGTGTGTCTCTGTGTGTCTCTGTGTGTGTGTCTCTGTGTGTCTCTGTGTGTGTGTGTCTCTGTGTGTCTCTGTGTGTGTCTCTCTGTGTGTGTGTGTGTCTCTCTCTGTGTATGTCTGTGTGTGTCTCTGTGTGTGTCTCTGTGTGTGTCTTTGTGTGTGTCTCTGTGTGTGTCTCTGTGTGTCTGTCTCTGTGTGTCTGTCTCTGTGTGTCTGTCTCTATGTGTGTCTCTGTGTGTAGCTGTGTGTCTGTGTGTCTCTGTGTGTGTCTCTGTGTGTAGCTGTGGCGAGCTCGCTGGCAAGGTAACGATGTGGTGGTGAAGATGTCTCTCTCTGTGTGTGTCTCTGTGTGTCTGCGTGTGTCTGCGTGTGTCTGCGTGTGTCTCTGTGTGTCTCTCTGTGTGTGTGTGTCTCTGTGTGTGTCTCTGTGTGTGTCTCTGTGTGTCTCTGTGTGTAGCTGTGGCGAGCTCGCTGGCAAGGTAACGATGTGGTGGTGAAGATGCTGAACGTCCGAGACTTCAGCACTCGCAAGGGTCGAGACTTCTGCGAGGAATACCCCCGACTACGGTAACCATCCAGTAGCAGTAGTAGCACCAGTAGTAGTAGTAGTAGCAGTAGTAGTAGTAGTAGCAGTAGTAGTAGCAGTAGTAGTAATAGTAGCTGCATTAGTAGTAGTAGTAGCAGCAGTAGTAGTAACAGCAGCAGTAGTAGCAGTAGTAGTAGCAGTAGTAGTAGTATCAGTAGTAACAATAGTAGTAGTAGCAGCATCAGCATCGTCAGCAACATCAGCAGTAGTCGCAGCATCGTCATCTGTAGCATCATCATCATCAGCAGCAAGTAACTTCACCATCATCGCCATCATCACCACCACCACCACCACCGCTGCTACTGGCGATGGACGGTGGGAGCATCTGCTCTGGCTTTAACGAGCATCGATCATCATCATAATCATCGCCATCGCAACACTGATCATCGTCAGCGTTATGATACATCATCATCATTGTAGTGGTGGTGGTGATGATCGTGGTTATAGTTGGCACAGTAGGGGAGGTACAGCTGGTGGTGGTGGTGGTGCACCTAGCCTGGCACAGTAGGGGGGCTACAGCTGGTGGTGGTGGTGCATCTCAGTCGGTCGACCTCACGGCACCGGCTGGGTCTGTCCCCGTGAGCTCCTGCACCTAGCCTGGCACAGTGGGGGGGCTACAGCTGGTGGTGGTGGTGCATCTCTGGTGATGGTGATGGTGGTGATGGCCATGATGGTGGTGGTGATAGCCATGATGATGGTGGTGGTGGTGGTGATGGTGGTGGTGGTGATGGTGGTGATGGTGGTGGTGATGGCCATGATGATGATGATGGTGGTGGTGATGGCCATGATGATGATGATGGTGGTGGTGATGGCCATGATGATGATGGTGGTGGTGATGGCCATGATGATGATGATGGTGGTGGTGATGGCCATGATGGTAATGGTGGTGGTGGCCATGATGATGATGATGGTGGTGGTGGTGATGGTGTTGATGGTGGTGGTGGTGATGGTGTTGATGGTGGTGGTGGTGATGATGATGGTGGTGGTGATGGCCATGGTGGTGGTGATGGCCATGATGATGATGGTGGTGGTGATGGCCATGATGGTGGTGGTGGTGATGGCCATGATGATGGTGGTGGTGGTGGTGATGGCTGTAGTTGAAGCTGTCACAACAGGAAGTTGCAGGAAGCAGCTGACTGGCGATAGAGGCACACCCAGGGGGTGAGTGGAGTGTGGGCGTAGTGAGTGTGAGTCTGTGTGTGTGTATGTGTAGTGAGTGTGTGTGTAGTGAGTGAGTGTGTGTGAGCATGTGTGAGTATCTGTGTGTGTGTGTGTTTGAGTGTGTGAGTGTGACTGTGTGTGAGTGACTGTGTGTGTGTAGTGAGTCTGTGTGAGTGTGTGTAGTGAGTGTGTGTGTGTGTGAGTGTGTGTAGTGAGTGTGTGTGTAGTCAGTGTGAGTGTGTGTGTGTAGTCAGTGTGAGTCTGTGTGTGTGTGTAGTCAGTGTGAGTCTGTGTGTGTGTGTGTAGTGAGTGTGAGTCTGTGTGTGTGTAGTGAGTGTGAGTCTGTGTGTGTGTAGTGAGTGTGAGTCTGTGTGTGTAGTGAGTGTGAGTCTGTATGTGTGTGTGTAGTGAGTGTGAGTCTGTGAGTGTGTGTGTGTAGTGAGTGTGAGTCTGTATATGTGTGTGTGTGTAGTGAGTGTGAGTCTGTATGTATGTGTGTGTGTAGTGAGTGTGAGTCTGTATGTGTGTGTGTGTGTAGTGAGTGTGAGTCTGTATGTGTGTGTGTGTGTGTGTAGTGAGTGTGAGTCTGTATGTGTGTGTGTGTGTAGTGAGTGTGAGTCTGTGTGTGTAGTGAGTGTGTGTGTGTGTAGTGAATCTGTGTGTGTGTAGTGAGTGTGTGTGTGTAGTGAATCTGTGTGTGTGTAGTGAGTGTGTGTGTAGTGAATCTGTGTGTGTGTGTAGTGAGTGTTAGTCTGTGTGTGTAGTGAATCTGTGTGTGTGTGTAGTGAGTGTTAGTCTGTGTGTGTAGTGAATCTGTGTGTGTGTGTAGTGAGTGTTAGTCTGTGTGTGTAGTGAATCTGTGTGTGTGTGTAGTGATTGTTAGTCTGTGTGTGTGTAGTGAGTGTTAGTCTGTGTGTGTGTGTGAGTGTGTGTGTTGTGAGTGTGTGTGTTGTGAGTGCGAGTCTGTGTGTGTGTGTTGTGAGTGTGTGTGTTGTGAGTGCGAGTCTGTGTGTGTGTGTTGTGAGTGCGAGTCTGTGTGTGTGTGGAGTGAGTGCGAGTCTGTGTGTGTGGTGAGTGTGTGTGTTGTGAGTGCGAGTCTGTGTGTGTGTGGAGTGAGTGCGAGTCTGTGTGTGTGGTGAGTGAGTGGCTGAGTGTTCCGGCATCGGCGCATCCACACAACATCATGGATGCATGCTGGGTCCAAGCAAGAATATCTGCTGGACTACATAGTGATGGACCAGCAGATGCGAGCCCATGTCCTTGCCACAGGACCTACCGTGGAGCTGATCTGCCCATCTGTAAGATGCGCCTGCCATTCTTCCACTCCGGTGGTGGGTGTACACCCAGGACCCCATTCAAACCCATCAGCTAGCTGATGAAAGTTGCAAGGGAGAAGTTGATCATCGCTTGCAGCTGTGGTTGGCATCATCGCCCACTCCTGAGGGGAAATGGGTGAGGTTTAGGACTCATGCAGCTGCAATGGCTGCTTTGGGTACGCGGTCCAGACCTCCCCAGAGACCCTGGCTGACAGAGGAGGTGTTCAGGCTGGCTGAGAAAAAGCAACAGGCCCACTCTCATCGTCTACAGAATCCCACGTCAGAGAATGAGGAGGCTTACCGCAGCCTTCGCTCGGAGGTTCGGAGAGCCGTGAGGCGCTGCAAGGATGGGTGGTGGTCGCGGGTTGCTGAGGAGATGGAGTCTGCCTCAGTGGCCCGCGATCACAAATCTCTATTTAACTCCATCAAAAAAGTAACCTGCAGCGCCACACCTATTACCATCATTAGGGGAAAAAACGGTGATCCAATCTCCGACCCCCAGGAACAGGTTTGCAGATTTGCTGAGCATTTCTGTGAGGTCCTGGGGGAGGGAAAATCCCTCAGCCAGGAAAACATCGTGGCACAAAGTGAGGATGACCCTGCTGAGGCTGCGGTGCCTCAAATAATGGAAGAAGTCGCCCCCTGTGAGTGGCTGGCTGAGGTGCCATCTGTTGAGGAAGTACTGAAGGCGATCCGGAGTCTGAGACCAGGAAAGGCAGCGGGCAGAGATGATATCCCAAGCGAAATGCTGAGGGAGGGTGGCGTTTGTGCACAGACTGCCCTATATGACATCATAACAACAGTCTGGACCGCTGGACGGGTTCCGCAGGATTGTAAGGATGCCCTGGTGGTCCCCCTCTTTAAGAAGGGGGACCGCACAGACTGTAACAATTACAGGGGCATCTCACTCCTCAGTGTGCCGGGAAAGGTCCTGGCAAGGATTATTCAACATCGCCTTGCCAGGCACGCTGAGGAGAGGCTTGCAGAGCCCCAATGTGGTTTCAGGAAAGGGCGGTCCTGCACAGATGCCATATTTTCTGTCCGTCTGCTACCGCAGAGGTGTAGGGAATTCCAACTAGACCTACATCTCTGCTTTATTGACCTGGTCAAGGCCTATGATACCATCAGTAGGCCTGGGCTCTGGGTCGTTCTTCGTGCTTTTGGAGTACCTGACCCTCTGCTCACGATCATTAAGGACCTTCATGATGGTGAGCGGGCCCTGGTAAAACTACGTGGCCGGGAGTCAGAGCCATTCCCTGTACACCTTGGGGTGCGACAGGGATGTCTTCCTCTGGCTCCCACATTATTTAACATCTATTTTGACCCCGTAGTTCGTGAAGCCTTCAATGGCTGTGCAGAAGGAATTTCCATCTGGTACAGATACAATGGGAGGCTGATCGATGCCCGGGTGCTGATGATGATGGCGATGATGGTGAAGTTACTTGCTGCTGATGATGATGCTACTGCTGCTGATGACGATGCTGCTACTACTGCTGATGTTGCTGACGATGCTGATGCTGCTACTACTGCTGCTACTATTGTTACTACGACTGCCACTACTGTTACTGCTTGCCACTACTGCTGCTGTTACTACTAAGGATGGAGGAGTTGGCCCGGACGTGCACCTAGCCTGGCACGGGCGCCGTGGTGACGTAGGCGCTGCCACTCGCTACTCACGGCACTTGCCCCGGCAGTCTGGGCAGGCTACACGGGGAGCTTTGTCTTTGTAGGACCGTGGCTGACCGTGTTCACATTTCTTGTGTTGGTCTCTCCCCCCCCCCCCCCCCCGTGTCTCTCCCCCCCCCCCCCCCGTGTCCCCCCCCCCTCCCCCCCCAGCATCTTCTCCCACCCCAACGTGCTTCCGGTGTTGGGTGCCTGCACCTTCCCCACGGCCCCAGCGCCCACCGTCATCACCCAGCTGATGCCCTTCGGCTCCCTCTACAACCTCCTGCACGAGGGCACCAGTGGGTGACACGTGGGGTGACACGTGGGGGGGCGGGGCCTCGGTAGGGGGCGGGGCCTCGGTAGGGGGCGGGGCCTCAGTAGGGGGTGGGGCACCAGTGGGTGACACGTGTGGGGCGGGGCCTCGGTAGGGGGCGGGGCACCAGTGGGTGACACGTGGGGGGGGAGGGGCCTCGGTAGGGGGCGGGGCACCAGCGCCCACCGTCATCACCCAGCTGATGCCCTTCGGCTCCCTCTACAACCTCCTGCACGAGGGCACCAGTGGGTGACACGTGGGGGGGCGGGGCATCGGTAGGGGGAGGGGCATCAGTAGGGGGAGGGGCATCAGTAGGGGGGCGGGGCACCAGTAGGGGGCGGGGCCTCAGTAGGGGGTGGGGCACCAGCGCCCACCGTCATCACCCAGCTGATGCCCTTCGGCTCCCTCTACAACCTCCTGCACGAGGGCACCAGTGGGTGACACGCGGGGGGGTAGGGGCCTCGGTAGGGGGAGGGGCATCAGTAGGGGGAGGGGCATCAGTAGGGGGAGGGGCATCAGTAGGGGGAGGGGCATCAGTAGGGGGAGGGGCATCAGTAGGGGGAGGGGCATCAGTAGGGGGTGGGGCATCAGTAGGGGGTGGGGCATCAGTAGGGGGAGGGGCCTCAGTAGGGGGAGGGGCTCAGTAGGGGGAGGGGCCTCAGTGGGTGACGCGGGGGGTGGGTGGGGCATCAGTAGGGGGAGGGGCATCGGTAGGGGGAGGGGCATCGGTAGGGGGAGGGGCATCAGTGGGTGGCACACGGGGGGGGGGGGCACCAGTAGCGGGTGGGGCATCAGTACGGGGAGGGGCACCAGTGGATGACACACGAGTGTGTGTGTGTGTATCTGTGTGTGTGTGTATATATATCTGTGTGTGTGTGTGAGACGTCTCCTGGCCAAACCCCAATTGGCGGAGCCAGGAGACTGAATCTTTACCCTCGGGGCTCCTCCAGAAACAACGAAAAGCCACTTCGTGAGGCTACGTGGAAAGTTCGAACGCTCACTACGGAGGAGAGGCTGCCACTCCTCTGTCGGGAGCTGGACCGGTACCGCCTGGATCTCTGTGGCATTCAGGAGGTCCGGTGGACCGGCTCTGGCTCCTGCCACCATGAGGGGTGGACAGTCCTCTACTCGGGGCAGCAGACTGCCAAACAACAGGGTGTGGCTCTTCTTCTGAACAAACGAATGAAGGGGGGGCGTGGGCGCGTGGCGGTGAGGTGTGGGAAGCCGTAAGCCCCGGGCTACTTTGGGCTCGCCTTCCCATCAACCGGAGGCGAGGAATGGTGGTCGTGGTTACTTATGCCCCCACCGAAGACGAACATCCGTGGAGGGATGCAGGCAAAGCCGATGAGTCAGATGCCTTCTATGACCTCCTGTCACAGGTGCTGGCTAAAGTGGCTCTTCGGGATAGAGTCATCATGTTGGGTGACTTCAATGTCCGAGTTGGTCATGATGCTGGTACCTGGTCTGGAGTGATTGGAGGGCATGGGCCGGATCAGCTCAATAACTATAGTAGGAGTCTGCTAGATTTTTGTGCAGCCCATGGGCTTGTGATTACCAACACGCTGTTCCGGCATCGGCGCATCCACACAACATCATGGATGCATGCCGGGTCCAAGCAAGATCATCTGCTAGACTACATAGTGACGGACCAGCGGATGCGAGCCCATGTCCTTGACACCAGGACCTACCGTGGAGCTGATCTGCCCTCTGACCATCGACTAGTCATCTGTAAGATGCGCCTGCCATTCTTCCGCTCCGGTGGTGGGTGTACACCCAGGACCCCATTCCAACCTAAAGTGGCTTGGTCTCAGTTATCTGATGAAAGTTGCAAGCGAGAATTCCATCATCGCCTGCGACTGGGGTTGGCATCGTCCCCCACTGGATGTCAATGGTAAATGGGCAAGGTTTAGGACTGTGACTCATGCAGCTGCATTGGCTGCTTTGGGTACACAGTCCAGACCTCCCCAGAGACCCTGGCTGACAGAGGAGGTGTTCAGGATAGTTGAGAAAAAGCGACAGGCCCACTGTCATCGGCTACAGAATCCCACGTCAGAGAATGAGGATTACCGCAGCCTTCGCTCGGAGGTTCGGAGAGCCGTGAGGCGCTGCAAGGATGGGTGGTGGTCGCGGGTTGCTGAGGAGATGGAGTCTGCCTCAGTGGCCCGTGATCACAAATCTCTATTTAACTCCATCAAAAAAGTAACCTGCAGCGCCACACCTATTACCATCATTAGGGGAAAAAACGGTGATCCAATTTCCGACCCCCAGGAACAGGTTCGCAGATTTGCTGAGCATTTCTGTGAGGTCCTGGGGGAGGGAAAATCCCTCAGCCAGGAAAACATCGTGGCACAAAGTGAGGATGACCCTGCTGAGGCTGCGGTGGCTCAAATATTGGATGAAGTCACCCCCTGTGAGTGGCTGGCTGAGGTGCCATCTGCTGAGGAAGTATTGAAGGCGATCCGGAGTCTGAGACCAGGAAAGGCAGCGGGCAGAGATGATCTCCCAAGCGAAATGCTGAGGGAGGGTGGCGTTTGTGCACAGACTGCCCTATATGGCATCATAACAACAGTCTGGACCACTGGACGGGTTCCGCAGGATTGGAAGGATGCCCTGGTGGTCCCCCTTTTTAAGAAGGGGGACCGCACAGACTGTAACAACTACAGGGGCATCTCACTCCTCAGTGTGCCGGGAAAGGTCCTGGCAAGGATTATTCAGCATCGCCTTGCCAGGCACGCTGAGAAGAGGCTTGCGGAGCCCCAATGCGGTTTCAGGAAAGGGCGGTCCTGCACAGATGCCATATTTTCTGTCCGTCTGCTACAGCAGAGGTGTAGGGAATTCCAACAAGACCTACATCTCTGCTTTATTGACCTGGTCAAGGCCTATGATACCATCAGTAGGCCTGGGCTCTGGGTCGTTCTTCGTGCTTTTGGAGTACCTGACCCTCTGCTCACGATCATTAAGGACCTTCATGATGGTGAGCGGGCCCGGGTAAAACTACGTGGCCGGGAGTCAGAGCCATTCCCTGTACACCTTGGGGTGCGACAGGGATGTCCTCTGGCTCCCACATTATTTAACATCTATTTTGACCACGTAGTTCGTGAAGCCTTCAATAGCTGTACGGGGGGAATCTCCATATGGTACAGATATAATGGGAGGCTAATCGATGCCCGGGTGCGGTCAAGGGATGGCTCCCTATTGCTCAACCACGTTATGTATGCTGATGACTTGGTAATAGCTGCTCAGTCAGAGGAGGAGTTGGAGACGCTGCTGCTGAGACTGGAGCGTGCCACTAAGAGGTGGGGCCTTACCATCAGCCCCACCAAAACTAAGCACCTGCCTGGGTATTTTGTACCATCGGACACTCCACCCCCACAACTCCCAATCGGTGATGGGGCAGTTGTGGAGAGAGTGGAGAGTTTCCCATACCTGGGCAGTGTGCTTATGACTGGCTCCAGTTTAACAGCAGAGGTCTCACTCCGAATCAGTCGAGCGGCAATATCTTTTCATCGGTTGCGTAACGCTGTGTGGAAGCTACCTGGTCTGTCGCTCCGCACTAAGCTTCAGGTCTTCTCGGCCACGGTCATTCCCTCCCTTCTCTACGCTTGCGAAACGTGGACCCCCCTAATGGAACATCTTCGCCGGTTAGAAACATTTAGGCTGGCCTGCCTACGATCCATCCTGGGTTTAACCAGACTGGATTGTGTGAGGAGCTCACAAATCCTTGAAAGATCTGGGCAGGGTCCCATCGGTGAGCTCCTCCGGCAGGCAAGGCTGCGATGGCTGGGTCATGTAGCCCGCATGCCCAGCCACCGCATGCCGAAACAGCTTTTGTTTGGCCGGATTGAGGGGGCTAAGCGGGCGCGGCACGGGCTAGAGAAGAGATGGAGTGATGTGGTACAGGAGGACGTGGAGCTGAGTGGACTTGCCGATGACTGGTACCAGCGGTGTCAAGATCGGCCTCTGTGGAGGAGGCTCGTGAAGGATGCTACTGGGCAGTTGGAGGCAGTCGCCCTCCAACAACAACGGAGGGCGGAGGAGCGACACTCACAACAGCGAGCGGAGCGCCGGGTGGCTAAAGCACAGCAGGTTGGCACAGTAGGGGGCACAGGTGGTGCATCAGCCAGTCATCTCAGTCAGTCGACCCGTGGCACCTGGGTCTGCCCCGTGACCTCCTGCCAGCGGGCGTTCGACACTTCACGTGGCCTCAGGGTGCACATAGCCTGGCACAAGCGTCGTGGTGACGTCACCGCCACTTAGTGGCGAATGGCGGTTGTTGTTGTGTGTCTATCTGTGTGTGTGTGTCTATCTGTGTGTGTGTGTCTATCTGTGTGTGTGTGTCTATCTGTGTGTGTGTGTCTATCTGTGTGTGTGTGTCTATCTGTGTGTGTGTGTCTATCTGTGTGTGTGTGTCTATCTGTGTGTGGGTCTATCTATCTGTGTGTGTGTCTATCTGTGTGTGTGTGTCTGTGTGTGTCTATCTGTGTGTGTGTCTGTGTGTGTCTATCTGTGTGTGTGTCTGTATGTGTGTGTGTGTCTATCTGTGTGTGTGTGTCTATCTGTGTGTGTGTGTCTATCTGTGTGTGTGTCTATCTGTGTGTGTGTGTCTATCTGTGTGTGTGTGTCTATCTGTGTCACTGTGTGTGTGTGTGTCACTGTGTGTGTGTCTGTGTCTATCTGTGTGTGTGTGTGTCTGTGTGTGTGTCTATCTGTGTGTGTGTGTCTATCTGTGTGTGTGTGTCTATCTGTGTGTGTGTGTCTATCTGTGTGTGTGTGTCTATCTGTGTGTGTGTCTATCTGTGTGTGTGTGTCTATCTGTGTGTGTGTGTCTATCTGTGTCACTGTGTGTGTGTGTGTCACTGTGTGTGTGTCTGTGTCTATCTGTGTGTGTGTGTGTCTGTGTGTGTGTCTATCTGTGTGTGTGTCTATCTGTGTGTAGGTCTGGTGGTGGACCAGGCGCAGGCTGTTAAGTTTGCTCTGGACGTGGCCAAGGGCTTTGCGTTCCTGCACACTCTGGAGCCTCTCATCCCTCGCCTGCACCTCAACAGTCGGAGCATTATGGTGACCACTCACCCACACACTCACTCACACACTCACACAGTCACCCAGTCACTTAGTCACTCACTCACTCAGTCACTCACTCACTCACCCACTCACTCGCCTCCACCTCAACAGTCGCAACATTATGGTGACCACTCAGTCACTCACTCACACAGTCACACATACACTCACTCACTCACCTACTCAGTCACTCACTCACCCACTCAGTCACTCACCCACTCACTCACTCACCCACTCACCCACCCACTCACCCACCCGCTCACTCACTCACTCACCCACTCACTCACCCACTCACTCACTCACCCACTCACCCACCCACTCACCCACTCAGTCACTCAGTCACTCACTCACTCACACACTCACTCACTCAGTCACTCACACACTCAGTCACTCAGTCACCCACTCACTCGCCTCCACCTCAACAGTCGCAGCATTATGGTGGCCACTCACTCACCCACTCAGTCACTCACACACTCACCTACTCACCACTCACTCAGTCACTCACCCACACACTCAGTCACCCACTCACTCACTCACCCACTCACTCACTCAGTCACCCACTCACACATACACTCACTCACACATACACTCACTCACTCACTCAGTCACTCAGTCACTCACTCAGTCACTCAGTCACTCAGTCAGTCACTCAGTCACTCACCCACTCACTCACTCACTCACCCACTCACTCACTCACTCAGTCACTCACACACTCAGTCACTCAGTCACCCACTCACTCGCCTCCACCTCAACAGTCGCAGCATTATGGTGACCACTCAGTCACTCAGTCACTCACACAGTCACTCACACAGTCACTCACATAGTCACACACACAGTCACACACTCACCCACTACTCACACACTCACTCAGTCACTCAGTCACTCACTCACTCAGTCACACACACAGTCACTCAGTCACTCACTCACTCACACACACAGTCACTCAGTCACTCACTCACTCACACACACACACTCACCTACTCGCTCACTCAGTCACTCACTCAGTCACCCACCCACTCACTCACACAGTCACTCACTCACTTACTCACTCACTCACTCAGTCACTCACCCACTCACACACTACTCACACACTCAGTCACTCACTCACCCACTCACCCACTCACTCACTCAGTCACTCAGTCAGTCACTCACCCACTCACTCACTCACACAGTCACTCACACACTCACACAGTCACTCAGTCACCCCCTCACTCACCTACACACTCACCCACTCACTCACTCAGTCAGTCACTCACTCACTCACACAGTCACTCAGTCACTTACTCACTCACTCACTCAGTCACTTACTCAGTCACTCAGTCACTCACTCAGTCACTCAGTCACTCACTCAGTCACTCACTCACTCACCCAGTCACTCACTCACTCAGTCACTCACTCAGTCACTAACTCACTCAGTCACTCACTCAGTCACCCACTCACTCACCCACCCACTCACTCAGTCACTCACTCAGTCACTCACTTACTCACTCACTCAGTCACTCAGTCACTCACTCACCCACCCACTCACCCACTCACACACTCACTCACTCACCCACTCACTCACTCACCCCCTCACTCACTCACTCAGTCACTCACTCACTCACTCAGTCACTCAGTCACTCACTCACTCACCCAGTCACTCACTCAGTCACTCACCCACTCACTCACTCACTCACCCACTCACTCACTCACTCACCCACTCACTCACCCACTGACCCACTCACTCAGTCACTCACCCACTCACTCACTCACTCACCCCCTCACTCACTCACTCAGTCACTCACCCCCTCAGTCACTCACTCACCCACTCACTCACTCAGTCACTCGCTCACTCACTCAGTCACTCGCTCAGTCACTCAGTCACTCACCCACTACTCACTCAGTCACCCCCTCACTCACTCAGTCACTCACTCACTCACTCACCCACTACTCACACACTCACTCAGTCACTCACTCAGTCACCACTCACTCACTCAGTCATCCACTCAGTCACTCACCTACTCACTCACTCAGTCACTCACTCAGTCAGTCAGTCACTCACCCACTCACTCACTCACTACTCACCTACTCACTCACCCACTCACACACTCAGTCACTCAGTCACTCACACACACATACACTCACTCACTCACACACTCACTCAGTCACTCATTCAGTCACCCCCTCACCCACTCACTCACTCACCCACTCACACAGTCACTCACACACTCACACACTCACTCAGTCACTCAGTCACTCACACACTCACCCACTCAGTCACTCACACAGTCACCCACTCACTCACACACACAGTCACTCACTCACTCAGTCACTCAGTCACTCACTCAGTCACTCGCTCACTCAGTCACTCACTCAGTCACTCACCCACTCACTCAGTCACTCACTCAGTCAGTCACTCAGTCACTCACTCACTCATTCAGTCACTCACTCACCCACCCACTCACTCACTCAGTCACTCACTCACTCAGTCACTCACTCACTCAGTCATTCAGTCACTCACTCAGTCACTCACTCAGTCACTCACTCACCCACTCAGTCACCCACTCACTCACTCACCCACCCACTCACACACTCACTCACTCAGTCACTCACTCAGTCACTCGCTCACTCACTCACTCACTCAGTCAGTCACCCACTCACTCAGTCACTCACTCAGTCAGTCACTCAGTCACTCACCCACTCACTCAGTCACTCACCCACTCACTCGCTCGCTCAGTCACTCACTCACCCACCCACCCACTCACTCACTCAGTCACTCACTCACTCAGTCACTCAGTCAGTCACTCAGTCACTCACTCAGTCACTCAGTCACTCAGTCACTCACTCAGTCACTCACTCACCCACTCAGTCACCCACTCACTCACTCACCCCCTCACCCACCCACTCACTCACTCACTCACTACTCACACACTCAGTCACTCACTCAGTCACTCACTCACTCAGTCACCCCCTCACTCACTAACACACTCAGTCACTCACCCACTCACTCACTCACTCACCCACTCACTCACTCAGTCACTCACTCACTCACTCAGTCACTCACTCACCCACTCAGTCACCCACTCACTCACTCACTCAGTCACCCACTCACACATACACTCACTCACACATACACTCACTCACTCACTCAGTCACTCAGTCACTCACTCAGTCACTCAGTCACTCAGTCAGTCACTCAGTCACTCACCCACTCACTCACTCACTCACCCACTCACTCACTCAGTCACTCACACACTCAGTCACTCAGTCACCCACTCACTCGCCTCCACCTCAACAGTCGCAGCATTATGGTGACCACTCAGTCACTCAGTCACTCACACAGTCACTCACACAGTCACTCACATAGTCACACACACAGTCACACACTCACCCACTACTCACACACTCACTCAGTCACTCACTCACTCACACACACACACTCACCTACTCGCTCACTCAGTCACTCACTCAGTCACCCACCCACCCACTCACTCACACAGTCACTCACTCACTTACTCACTCACTCACTCAGTCACTCACCCACTCACACACTACTCACACACTCAGTCACTCACTCACCCACTCACCCACTCACTCACACAGTCACTCACACACTCACACAGTCACTCAGTCACCCCCTCACTCACCTACACACTCACCCACTCACTCACTCAGTCAGTCACTCACTCACTCACACAGTCACTCAGTCACTTACTCACTCACTCACTCAGTCACTTACTCAGTCACTCAGTCACTCACTCAGTCACTCACTCAGTCACTCACTCACTCACCCAGTCACTCACTCACTCAGTCACTCACTCAGTCACTAACTCACTCAGTCACTCACTCAGTCACCCACTCACTCACCCACCCACTCACTCAGTCACTCACTCAGTCACTCACTTACTCACTCACTCAGTCACTCAGTCACTCACTCACCCACCCACTCACCCACTCACACACTCACTCACTCACCCACTCACTCACTCACCCCCTCACTCACTCACTCAGTCACTCACTCACTCACTCAGTCACTCACTCACTCACCCAGTCACTCACTCAGTCACTCACCCACTCACTCACTCACTCACCCACTCACTCACTCACTCACCCACTCACTCACCCACTGACCCACTCACTCAGTCACTCACCCACTCACTCACTCACTCACCCCCTCACTCACTCACTCAGTCACTCACCCCCTCAGTCACTCACTCACCCACTCACTCACTCAGTCACTCGCTCACTCACTCAGTCACTCGCTCAGTCACTCAGTCACTCACCCACTACTCACTCAGTCACCCCCTCACTCACTCAGTCACTCACTCACTCACTCACCCACTACTCACACACTCACTCAGTCACTCACTCAGTCACCACTCACTCACTCAGTCATCCACTCAGTCACTCACCTACTCACTCACTCAGTCACTCACTCAGTCAGTCAGTCACTCACCCACTCACTCACTCACTACTCACCTACTCACTCACCCACTCACACACTCAGTCACTCAGTCACTCACACACACATACACTCACTCACTCACACACTCACTCAGTCACTCATTCAGTCACCCCCTCACCCACTCACACAGTCACTCACACACTCACACACTCACTCAGTCACTCAGTCACTCACACACTCACCCACTCAGTCACTCACACAGTCACCCACTCACTCACACACACAGTCACTCACTCACTCAGTCACTCAGTCACTCACTCAGTCACTTGCTCACTCAGTCACTCACTCAGTCACTCACCCACTCACTCAGTCACTCACTCAGTCAGTCACTCAGTCACTCACTCACTCATTCAGTCACTCACTCACTCACTCACCCACCCACTCACTCACTCACTCAGTCACTCACTCAGTCATTCAGTCACTCACTCAGTCACTCACTCAGTCACTCACTCACCCACTCACTCACTCACCCACCCACTCACACACTCACTCACTCAGTCACTCACTCAGTCACTCGCTCACTCACTCACTCACTCAGTCAGTCACCCACTCACTCAGTCACTCACTCAGTCAGTCACTCAGTCACTCACCCACTCACTCAGTCACTCACCCACTCACTCGCTCGCTCAGTCACTCACTCACCCACCCACCCACTCACTCACTCAGTCACTCGCTCACTCAGTCACTCAGTCAGTCACTCAGTCACTCAGTCACTCACTCAGTCACTCAGTCACTCAGTCACTCACTCAGTCACTCACTCACCCACTCAGTCACCCACTCACTCACTCACCCCCTCACCCACTCACTCACTCAGTCACTCACTCACTACTCACACACTCAGTCACTCACTCAGTCACTCACTCACTCAGTCACCCCCTCACTCACTAACACACTCAGTCACTCACCCACTCACTCACTCACTCACCCACTCACTCACTCAGTCACTCACTCACTCACTCAGTCACTCACTCAGTCACTCACTCACCCACTCAGTCACCCACTCACTCACTCACTCACCCCCTCACCCACTCACTCACTCACTCAGTCACTCACTCACTCAGTCACCCCCTCACTCACTCACACACTCAGTCACTCAGTCACTCACCCACTCACCCACTCACTCACTCACTCAGTCACTCACTCACTCAGTCACTCACTCACTCACTCAGTCACTCACTCAGTCACTCACTCACCCACTCAGTCACCCACTCACTCACTCACTCACCCCCTCACCCACTCACTCACTCACTCAGTCACTCACTCACTCAGTCACCCCCTCACTCACTCACACACTCAGTCACTCAGTCACTCACCCACTCACCCACTCACTCACTCACTCAGTCACTCACTCACTCAGTCACTCACTCAGTCACTCACTCAGTCACTCACTCAGTCACTCACTCAGTCACTCACTCAGTCACTCACTCACCCACTCAGTCACCCACTCACTCACTCACCCCCTCACCCACTCACTCACTCAGTCACTCACTCACTACTCACACACTCAGTCACTCACTCAGTCACTCACTCACTCAGTCACCCCCTCACTCACTAACACACTCAGTCACTCACCCACTCACTCACTCACTCACCCACTCACTCACTCAGTCACTCACTCACTCACTCAGTCACTCACTCAGTCACTCACTCACCCACTCAGTCACCCACTCACTCACTCACTCACCCCCTCACCCACTCACTCACTCACTCAGTCACTCACTCACTCAGTCACCCCCTCACTCACACACTCAGTCACTCAGTCACCCCCTCACTCACTCACACACTCAGTCACTCACCCACTCACCCACTCACTCACTCACTCAGTCACTCACTCACTCAGTCACTCACTCAGTCACTCACTCAGTCACTCACTCAGTCACTCACTCACTCACTCAGTCACTCACTCACTCACTCAGTCACACACTCACCCAGTCACTCACTCACCCACTACTCACTCACTCACCCACTCACCTACTCACCCACTCACTCAGTCAGTCACTCAGTCACTCACCCACACACTCACCCACTCACTCACCCACTCACCCACTCACTCACCTACTCACTCACCTACTCACTCACCCACTCACTCAGTCACTCACTCAGTCACTCACTCACTCACTCACCCCCTCACTCACTCAGTCACTCACTCACCCACCCACTCACTCACCCACTCACTCACTCACCCACCCACTCACTCACCCACCCACTCACTCACTCACTCGCTCACCCCCTCACTCACTCACCCACTCACTCACCCACCCACTCACCCACTCACTCACACACTCACTCACTCACTCGCTCGCTCACCCACTCACACACCCACTCACTCACCTACTCACTCACTCAGTCACCCAGTCACTCACTCACCCACTCACTCACTCAGTCACTCACCCACTCACTCACTCACTCACCCACTCACTCACTCAGTCACTCACTCACTCACTCGCCCACTCAGTCACTCACTCACTCACTCAGTCACTCACTCACTCACTCAGTCACTCAGTCACTCACTCACCCACTCACCCACTCACCCACCCACTCACTCACTCACCCACTTACACACTCACCCACTCACTCACTCACTCACCCACCCACTCACTCACTCACCCACTCAGTCACTCACTCAGTCACTCACTCACACACTCACTTACTCACCCACCCACTCACTCAGTCACTCACTCACACACTCACTTACTCACCCACCCACTCACTCAGTCACTCACTCACCCACTCACTCGCTCAGTCACTCACTTACTCACTCACTCACTCACACAGTCACTCAGTCAGTCACTCACCCCCTCACTCACCCACTCACTCACTCACACACTCACTCAGTCACTCACTCACTCAGTCACTCACACACTCAGTCACTCAGTCACTCACACACTCACTCACTCACTCACCCACTCACTCACACACTACTCACACACTCACTCACTCTCTTACTCACTCACTCACCCACTCACTCACTCAGTCACTCAGTCACTCACTCAGTCACTCACTCACTCACAGACTCACCCACTCACTCACCTATTCACTCACACACTCAGTCACTCACTCACCCCCTCACTCACTCAGTCACTCACCCACTCACTCACTCACTCACCCCCTCACTCACACACTCACTCAGTCACTCACACACTCACTCAGTCACTCACTCAGTCACTCAGTCACTCACTCAGTCACTCACTCACTCACAGACTCACCCACTCACTCAGTCACTCACTCACTCACTCAGTCACTCACTCACCCCCTCACTCACTCAGTCACTCACCCACTCACTCACTCACCCCCTCACTCACACACTCACTCAGTCACTCACACACTCACTCAGTCACTCACTCACCCACTCAGTCACTCACTCAGTCACCCACTCACTCACCCACTCACTCACCCACTCAGCAAGGCATGGGTCAGCATGGCCAATGGTGATGTTGATGGTGATGTTGGTGATGTTGGTGATGTTGATGGTGTTGATGGTGGTGTTGGTGGTGGTGATGGTGGTGGTGATGGTGATGGTGTTGATGGTGTTGATGATGTTCATGTTAATGGTGTTGATGGTGATGATGATGTTGATGATGTTGATGTCTCACAGGTGGATGATGACATGATGGCTCGTATCAGCATGTTGATGGTGTTGATGGTGTTGATGTTAATGGTGTTGATGGTGATGATGATGTTGATGATGTTGATGTCTCACAGGTGGATGATGACATGATGGCTCGTATCAGCATGTTGATGGTGTTGATGGTGGTGATGGTGTTGATGGTGTTGATGTTAATGGTGTTGATGGTGATGATGATGTTGATGATGTTGATGTCTCACAGGTGGATGATGACATGATGGCTCGTATCAGCATGTTGATGGTGTTGATGGTGGTGATGGTGTTGATGTTAATGGTGTTGATGGTGATGATGATGTTGATGTTGTTGATGTCTCACAGGTGGATGACGACATGATGGCGTGTGTCAGCATGGTGATGGTGATGTTGATGGTGATGGTGGTGTTGATGGCGATGTTGATGGTGTTGATGGTGTTGATGGTGTTGATGGTGATGTTGATGGTGTTGATGGCGATGTTGATGGTGTTGATGGTGTTGATGGTGATGTTGATGGTGTTGATGGTGATGTTGATGTTGATGGTGTTGATGGTGATGGTGTTGGTGTTGATGGTGATGTTGTTGGTGTTGATGGTGATGGTGTTGGTGTTGATGATGATGGTGTTGATGTTGATGATGTTGTTGGTGTTGATGGTGATGTTGTTGGTGTTGATGGTGATGTTGTTGGTGTTGGTGGTGATGTTGTTGGTGTGGATGGTGATGGTGTTGATGGTGATGTTGTTGGTGTTGATGGTGAGGTTGTTGGTGTTGATGGTGAGGTTGTTGGTGTTGATGGTGATGTTGTTGATGTTGATGGTGTTGATGGTGTTGGTGTTGATGGTGTTGGTGTTGATGGTGATGTTGTTGATGTTGATGGTGGTGATGTTGTTGGTGTTGATGGTGATGGTGTTGATGTTGATGTTGTTGGTGTTGATGATGTTGTTGGTGGTGATGGTGTTGATGTTGATGGTGTTGATGTTGATGGTGTTGATGGTGTGGATGGTGATGGTGTTGATGGTGTTGATGTTGATGGTGTTGATGTTGATGGTGTTGATGGTGTTGGTGTTGATGGTGTTGGTGTTGATGGTGATGTTGTTGATGTTGATGGTGGTGATGTTGTTGGTGTTGATGGTGATGGTGTTGATGTTGATGTTGTTGGTGTTGATGATGTTGTTGGTGGTGATGGTGTTGATGTTGATGGTGTTGATGTTGATGGTGTTGATGGTGTGGATGGTGATGGTGTTGATGGTGTTGATGTTGATGGTGTTGATGGTGATGTTGATGGTGTTGATGTTGATGGTGTTGATGGTGGTGGTGTTGATGATGGTGTTGATGGTGATGTGGGTGTTGATGATGTTGATGGTGTTGATGGTGATGTTGTTGGTGGTGATGATGGTGTTAATGGTGGTGTTGTTGATGGTGATGATGTTGATGGTGTTGATGTTGATGGTGTTGTTGATGGTGATGATGTTGATGGTGTTGATGTTGATGGTGTTGTTGATGTTGATGTTGTTGATGTTGTCTCCCAGGTGGATGACGACATGATGGCACGTGTCAGCATGGCGGACGCTAAGTTTTCCTTCCAGTGTCCGGGGAAACTTTACTGCCCTGCCTGGATGGCACCAGAGGGTGAGACACACGTGGAGAGACACGGGGAGAGACACGGGGAGTGAGACACGGGGAGAGACACGGGGAGACACGGGTGAGACACGGGGAGAGAGACACGGGGGGAGACAAGGGGGGGGGGGGGGGTGAGACACACGGGGAGAGACACGGGGAGACACGGGTGAGACACGGGGAGAGACACGGGGAGTGAGACACGGGGAGAGACACGGGGAGACACGGGTGAGACACGGGGAGAGAGACACGGGGGGAGACAAGGGGGGGGGGGTGAGACACACGGGGAGAGACACGGGGTGAGACACACGGGGAGAGAGACACGGGGGGAGTGAGACACACGGGGAGTGAGACACACGGGGAGTGAGACACGGGGTGAGACACACGGGGAGAGAGACACACAGGGAGTGAGACACGGGGTGAGACACACGGGGAGAGAGACACACAGGGAGTGAGACACGGGGTGAGACACACGGGGAGAGAGACACACGGGGAGAGACACGGGGTGAGACACACGGGGAGAGAGACACACAGGGAGTGAGACACGGGGTGAGACACACGGGGAGAGACACGGGGTGAGACACACAGGGAGTGAGACACACGGGGAGAGACACACGGGGAGAGAGACACGGGGGGAGACACGGGGGGTGGGAGTGAGACGCTGATTGCTGCATGTCCACCTCCGGCAGGCAGTCGACTGTCTGACCTTTTGACCTCCTGTCGACCCCCCCCCACCACCACCCCCACCACCACCCCCCCCTGCAGCGCTACAGAAGCGCCCTGAGGACATGAACCGCCGCTCCTCCGACATGTGGAGCTTCGCCGTCCTGCTGTGGGAGCTCGTCACCAGAGAGGTTCCCTTCGCTGATCTCTCCAACATGGAGATCGGCATGAAGGTCAGGGGTCACTCCTACACTCATACACTCCTACACTATACACTACACTCTAGTCTACTACACTACACTATACACTACTACACTACACTCTACTACACTATACTACACTCTACTACACTACACTCTACTACACTATACTACACTATACACTACACTACACTCTAGTCTACTACACTATACTACACTATACACTCCTACACTACACTACACTATACACTACACTACACTCTAGTCTACTACACTATACTACACTATACACTACTACACTACACTCTACTACACTCTACTACACTACACCATACTACACTACACTATACACTACACTATACTACACTACACTCTACTACACTACACTATACTACACTACACTCTACTACACTATACTATACACTACACTATACTACACTATACTACACTATACTACACACTACACCATACACTACACTATACACTACACTATACTACACTATACTACACTACACTATATACTACACTATACTACACTATACACTATACTACACTACACTATACTACACTATACACTACACTATACTACACTATACACTATATACTACACTACACTATACACTACACTACACTCTAGTCTACTACACTATACTACACTATACACTACTACACTACACTCTACTACACTATACTACACTATACACTACTACACTACACTCTACTACACTCTACTACACTCTACTACACTCTACTACACTCTACTACACTATACTACACTATACTACACTACACTATACACTACACTATACTACACTATACTACACTACACTCTACTACACTATACTATACACTACACTATACTACACTACACTCTACTACACTATACTACACTATACTATACACTACACTATACTACACTACACTATATACTACACTATACTACACTATACACTACACTATACTACACTATACTACACTACACTATACACTACACTATACTACACTATACACTATACTACACTACACTATATACTACACTATACTACACTATACACTATACTACACTACACTATATACTACACTACACTATATACTACACTATACTACACTACACTATACACTATACTACACTATACACTATACTACACTATACACTATATACTACACTATACACTATATACTACACTACACTATACACTATACTACACTATACACTATACTACACTATACACTATATACTACACTATACTACACTATACTACACTATACTACACTACACTATACACTACACTATACTACACTATACTATATACTATACTACACTATACTATACTACACTATACTACACTATACACTACACTATACTACACTATACACTACACTATACTACACTATACTACACTATACTACACTACACTATACTACACTATACTATACACTATACTACACTATACACTACACTATACTACACTACACTATACTACACTATACACTACACTATACTACACTATACTACACTATACTACACTATACTACACTACACTATACACTACACTATACTACACTATACTATACTACACTATACTACACTATACACTACACTATACTACACTACACTATACACTACACTATACTACACTACACTATACACTATACTATACTACACTATACACTACACTATACTACACTATACTACACTATACACTACACTATACACTACACTATACTACACTACACTATACACTACACTATACTACACTACACTATACACTATACTACACTACACTATACACTACACTATACACTACACTATACTACACTATACACTACACTATACTACACTATACACTACACTATGCTACACTATACTACACTATACTACACTACACTATACACTATACTATACTACACTATACACTACACTATACTACACTATACTACACTACACTATACTACACTATACTACACTATACTACACTATACACTACACTATACTACACTACACTATACTACACTATACACTACACTATACACTATACTACACTATACTACACTACACTATACTACACTATACACTACACTATACTACACTACACTATATACTACACTATACTACACTATACACTATACTACACTACACTATACTACACTATACTACACTACACTATACACTATACTACACTATACACTATACTACACTATACACTATATACTACACTATACTACACTATACTACACTACACTATACTACACTATACTACACTATACTATACTACACTATACTACACTATACACTACACTATACACTATACTATACTACACTATACTACACTACACTATACACTACACTATACTACACTACACTATACACTACACTATACTACACTATACTATACACTACACTATACTACACTATACTATACACTACACTATACTACACTACACTATACACTACACTATACTATACATTACACTATACTACACTATACTACACTACACTATACACTACACTATACTACACTACACTATACACTACACTATACTACACTACACTATACACTACACTATACTACACTATACTACACTATACACTACACTATATACTACACTATACACTACACTATACTACACTATACACTATACTATACTACACTATATACTACACTATACTACACTATACACTACACTATACTACACTATACTACACTACACTATACACTACACTATACTACACTATACACTACACTATACTACACTATACTATACACTACACTATACTACACTATACTATACACTACACTATACTACACTATACTATACACTACACTATACAATACTACACTATACTATACTACACTACACTATACACTACACTATACTACACTATACTACACTATACTACACTATACTACACTACACTATACACTACACTATACTACACTACACTATACTACACTACACTATACTACACTACACTATACTACACTACACTATACACTACACTATACTACACTACACTATACTACACTATACTACACTACACTATACTACACTATACTACACTATACTACACTACACTATACTACACTATACACTACACTATACACTATACTACACTATACTACACTATACACTATACTATACTACACTATACTACACTATACACTATACTATACTACACTATACTACACTATACTACACTACACTATACACTACACTATACACTACACTATACACTACACTATACACTATACTACACTATACTACACTATACTACACTATACTACGCTATACACTACACTATACTACACTATACTATACTACACTATACACTACACTATACTACACTACACTATACACTATACTATACTATATACTACACTATACACTACACTATACTACACTACACTATACTACACTATACTACACTACACTATACACTACACTATACACTACACTATACACTATATACTACACTATACTATACTACACTATACTACACTACACACTACACTATACTACACTACACTATACTACACTATACTACACTATACTATATACTACACTACACTATACACTACACTATACACTACACTATACTACACTATACACTACACTATACTACATTATACACTACACTATACACTACACTATACTACACTATACTACACTACACTATACTTCTCTGTGTGTGTCTGTATCTTTCTGCGTGTCTCTGCGTGTCTCACTGTGTCTCTCTCTGTGTCTCTGTGTCTCTGCGTGTGTCTTTGTGTGTCTCTCTCTGTGTGTCTCTGTGTCTCTCTGTGTGTCTCTCTCTCTTTGTGTGTCTCTGTGTCTCTGCGTGTCTCTCTGCGTGTCTCTCTCTCTGTCTCTCTGTGTCTTTCTCTCTCTCTGTGTCTCTCCGTGTCTCACTGCGTCTCTCTCTCTGTGTCTCTCTGTGTGTCTCTCTCTGTGTGTCTCTGTGTGTCTCTCTCTGTGTGTGTCTGTGCGTGTCTCACTGCGTCTCTCTCTCTATGTGTCTCTGCGTGTCTCTCTGTGTGTCTCTCTCTCTCTGTGTCTCTCTCTGTGTGTCTCTGTGTGTCTCTGTGTCTCTGCGTGTCTCTCTGTTTGTCTCTCTCTCTGTGTCTCTCTGTGTGTGTCTCTGTGTCTCTGCGTGTCTCTCTGTGTGTCTCTCTCTGTGTGTCTCTGCGTGTCTCTCTGTGTGTGTCTCTCTCTCTCTGTGTCTCTCTGTGTGTGTCTCTGCGTGTCTCTCTGTGTGTCTCTCTCTGTGTGTCTGTCCGTGTCTCTCTGTGTGTCTCTCTCTCTGTGTGTGTCTCTCTGTGTCTCTCTCTGTGTGTCTCTGTGTGTGTCTCTCTCTCTCTGTGTGTCTGTGCGTGTCTCTCTGTGTGTGTCTCTGTGTCTCTGCGTGTCTCTCTGTGTGTGTCTCTCTCTGTGTGTCTCTCTCTCTCTCTGTGTGTCTCTGTGTGTCTCTCTGTGTGTCTCTCTCTCTGTGTGTCTCTCTGTGTGTCTCTCTCTCTGTGTGTCTCTGTGTGTGTCTCTCTCTCTCTCTCTGTGTGTCTCTCTCTCTGCGTGTCTCTCTGTGTGTCTCTGTGTGTGTCTCTCTCTGTGTGTGTGTCTCTGCGTGTGTTTAGGTGGCTCTGGAGGGTCTACGCCCCACCATCCCGCCCGGCATCTCCCCGCACATCTGCAAGCTGATGAGGATCTGCATGAACGAGGACCCAGCCAAGAGGCCCAAGTTCGACATGATAGTTCCCATCCTGGAAAAGATGCAGGAGAAGTGAGGGGCTGTGGGGGGGAGGGGCCATGGGGGGAGGAGCCATGGGGGGTGGGGGAGGGGCCATGGGGGTGGGGGAGGGGCCATGGGGGAGGGGCTATGGGGGGAGGGGGTGGCGCATGAAGGTGGTGAGTCTGTGGGTCTCTGTGTGGTGAGTCTGTGGGTCTATGTGTGATGAGTCTATGGGTCTCTGTGTGGTGAGTCTATGGGTCTCTGTGTGGTGAGTCTATGGGTCTCTGTGTGGTGAGTCTATGGATCTCTGTGTGGTGAGTCTGTGGGTCTCTGTGTGGTGAGTCTGTGGGTGTCTGTGTGGTGAGTCTATGGGTCTCTGTGTGGTGAGTCTATGGGTCTCTGTGTGGTGAGTCTGTGGGTCTCTGTGTGAGTGATTCTGTGGGTCTCTGTGTGGTGAGTCTGTGGGTCTCTGTGTGGCAAGTCTGTGGGTCTCTGTGTGGTGAGTCTGTGGGTCTTTGTGTGGTGAGTCTGTGGGTCTCTGTGTGGTGAGTCTATGGGTCTCTGTGTGGTGAGTCTATGGGTCGCTGTGTGGTGAGTCTGTAGGTCTCTGTGTGCTGAGTCTGTGGGTCTCTGTGTGGTGAGTCTATGGGTCTCTGTTTGGTGAGTCTGTGGGTCTCTGTGTGGTGAGTCTATGGGTCTCTGTGTGGTGAGTCTGTGGGTCTCTGTGTGGTGAGTCTATGGGTCTCTGTGTGGTGAGTCTATGGGTCTCTGTGTGGTGAGTCTGTGGGTCTCTGTGTGGTGAGTCTATGGGTCTCTGTGTGGTGAGTCTATGGGTCTCTGTGTGGTGAGTCTGTGGGTCTTTGTGTGGTGAGTCTGTGGGTCTCTGTGTGATGATGAGTCTATGGGTCTCTGTGTGGTGAGTCTATGGGTATTTGTGTGGTGAGTCTGTGGGTCTCTGTGTGGTGAGTCTATGGGTCTCTGTGTGGTGAGTCTATGGGTCTCTGTGTCGTGAGTCTATGGGTCTCTGTGTGGTGAGTCTGTGGGTCTCTGTGTGGTGAGTCTATGGGTCTCTGTGTGGTGAGTCTGTGGGTCTCTGTGTGGTGAGTATATGGGGCTCTGTGTGGTGAGTATATGGGTCTCTGTGTGGTGAGTCTGTTGGTCTCTGTGTGGTGAGTCTGTGGGTCTCTGTGTGGTGAGGCTGTGGGTCTCTGTGTGGTGAGTCTGTGGGTCTCTGTGTGCTAGTCTGTGGGTCTCTGTGTGGTGAGTCTGTGGGTCTCTGTGTGGTGAGTCTGTGTGTCTCTGTGTGGTGAGTCTGTGGGTCTCTGTGTGATGAGTCTATGGGTCTCTGTGTGGTGAGTCTGTGGGTCTCTGTGTGGTAAGTCTATGGGTCTCTGTGTGGTGAGTCTGTGGGTCTCTGTGTGGTGAGTCTATGGGTCTCTGTGTGGTGAGTCTGTGGGTCTCTGTGTGGTGAGTCTGTGGGTCTCTGTGTGGTGAGTCTGTGGGTCTCTGTGTGGTGAGTCTGTGGGTCTCTGTGTGGTGAGTCTGTGGGTCTCTGTGTGGTGAGTCTGTGGGTCTCTGTGTGGTGATGAGTCTGTGGGTCTCTGTGTGGTGAGTCTGTGGGTCTCTGTGTGGTGAGTCTGTGGGTCTCTGTGTGGTGAGTCTGTGGGTCTCTGTGTGATGAGTCTGTGGGTCTCTGTGTGATGAGTCTGTGGGTCTCTGTGTGGTGAGTCTGTGGGTCTCTGTGTGGTGAGTCTGTGGGTCTCTGTGTGGTGAGTCTGTGGGTCTCTGTGTGGTGAGTCTATGGGTCTCTGTGTGGTGAGTCTATGGGTCTCTGTGTGGTGAGTCTATGGGTCTCTGTCATCGCCTCTTGCCCCATCGTCTGCTCAAGTTGCCATCAGTTTCTTCGCATTATCCACAGTAACAAATCTCTCCCTCGTCTCTCTCGCTATGCGTCTCACACATCGGAATGATTTTTTTCATCGTAATTATTATCACGTCGTGATCATCGTCATCGTTGTCTTCACGATGATCATCACTCACACTCACTCACTCATTCACTCACACACACTCACACTCACTCATTCACTCACTCTCACTCATTCACTCATTCTCACTCATTCACTCATTCTCACTCATTCTCACTCATTCACTCACACTCACTCACTCATTCCCACACACTCGCTCACACACAACAACAACCGCCATTCGCCACTAAGTGGCGGTGACGTCACCACGACGCTTGTGCCAGGCTATGTGCACCCTGAGGCCACGTGAAGTGTCGAACGCCCGCTGGCAGGAGGTCACGGGGCAGACCCAGGTGCCATGGGTCGACTGACTGAGATGACTGGCTGATGCGCACCACCTGTGCCCCCTACTGTGCCAACCTGCTGTGCTTTAGCCACCCGGCGCTCTGCTTTAGCCACCCGGCGCTCCGCTCGTTGTTGTGAGCGTCGCTCCTCCGCCCTCCGTTGTTGTTGGAGGGCGACTGCCTCCAACTGCCCAGTAGCATCCTTCACGAGCCTCCTCCACAGAGGCCGATCTTGACACCGCTGGTACCAGTCATCGGCAAGTCCACACTCACACACTCGCACTCATTCACTCACACACTCACTCACACACACTCACTCATTCACTCACACACTCACTCACACACTCACTCACACACTCACTCACACACACACTTACTCTCACTCACACACACACACTCACTCACACTTTACACACACTCACTCACACTCACACACACTCACTCACACTCACATACACTCACTCACACAGCTGGGGGAGAAGGAGGGGCTGGAGACCATAATAACCACGTAACGAGTATAAGTTCACATTACGACTATATATATTTAGAGTGTTATTGTTGTTGTCGTGTTACTATTCTTCTTGACGATGTAGTAACTCACACACTCACACACACTCACACACACTCACACACACTCACACACACTCACTCACTCGCACACTCACTCGCACAGTCACACACACTCTGACTCACTCACTCACACGCACACACTCACATGCTCACACACTCACACTCTCACACTCACTCTCACACTCACTCTCACACTCACTCACACTCTCACACTCACTCACACTCACTCGCACACTCACTCGCACACTCACACGCACACACTCTCACACTCACTCACACACTCTCACAAACACACACGCACACTCACAAACACACACACACTCACAAACACACACGCACGCGAGAATCTATGTGAATGTTACATCGTCAACACCAATAAAGGTTGAATCTCTTTCTGTCGGCTCTCTCCTCTCCCTCCCTTTGGTTTGACCTCCTGTGTACCTGGCGAGGTAGTCAACATCTCTCAGTGTCTGGGATCGAACCCACGACCTCCTGTGTACCAGGCGAGGTAGTTAACATCTCGCAGTGTCTGGGATTGAACCCACGACCTCCTGTATACCAGACAAGGGAGTCAACATCTCAGTGTCTGGGATTGAACCCACGACCTCCTGTGTACCAGGCGAGGTAGTCAACATCTCTCAGGGTCTGGGATTGAACCCACGACCTGTGTACCAGGCGAGGTACTCAACATCTCTCAGAGTCTGGGATTGAACCCACGACCTCCTGCGTATCAGGCGAGGTAGTCAACATCTCTCAGGGTCTGGGATTGAACCCACGACCTCCTGCGTAACAGGCGAGGTAGTCAACATCTCACAGGGTCTGGGATTGAACCCACGACCTCCTAAATACCAGGCGAGGTAGTCAACATCTCTCAGTGTCTGGGATTGAACCCACGACCTCCTGTGTACCAGGCGAGGTAGTCAACATCTCTCAGTGTCTGGGATTGAACCCACGACCTCCTTTACACCAGGCGAGGTAGTTAACATCTCTCAGTGTCTGGGATTGAACCCACGACCTCCTGTGCACCAGGCGAGGTAGTCAACATCTCTCAGTGTCTGGGATTGAACCCACGACCTCCTGTGTACCAGGCGAGGTAATCAACATCTCTCAGGGTCTGGGATTGAACCCACGACCTCCTGTACACCAGGCGAGGTAGTCAACATCTCTCAGGGTCTGGGATTGAACCCACGACCTCCTGCGTACCAGGCGAGGTAGTCAACATTTCTCAGGGTCTGGGATTGAACCCACGACCTACTGTAGACCAGGCGAGGTAGTCAACATCTCTCAGTGTCGGTGATTGAACCCACGGCCTCCTGTGTACCAGGCGAGGTAGTCAACATCTCTCCGGGTCTGGGATTGAACCCACGACTTCCTGTACACCAGGCGAGGTAGTCAACATCTCTCAGGGTCTGGGATTGAACACACGACCTCCTGCATACCAGGCGAGGTAGTCAACATCTCAGTGTCTGGGATTGACCCCACGACCTCCTGTGTACCAGGCAAGGTAGTCAACATCTCTCAGTGTCTGGGATTGAACCCACGACCTCCTGCGTACCAGGCGAGGTGGTCAACATCTCTCAGTGTCTGGGATTGAACCCACGACCTCCTGCGTACCAGGCAAGGTAGTCAACATCTCTCAGTGTCTGTGATTGAACCCACGACCTCCTGTGTACCAGGCGAGGTAGTCAACATCTCTCAGTGTCTGGGATTGAACCCACGACTTCCTGTGTACCAGGCGAGGTAGTCAACATCTCTCAGTGTCTGGGATTGAACCCACGACCTCCTGTGTACCAGGCGAGGTAGTCAACATCTCTCAGTGTCTGGGATTGAACCCACGACTTCCTGTGTACCTAGCGAGGTAGTCAACATCTCTCAGTGTCTGGGATTGAACCCACGACCTCCTGTGTACCAGGCGAGGTAGTCAACATCTCTCAGTGTCTGGGATTGAACCCACGACCTCCTGTGGACCAGGCGAGGTAGTCAACATCTCCTAGCCACCGTGGGGGGCGTGGTTCCGGTGGGAGAGGGGCGTGGCTTGGGTGCGTCGTGGTGGGGTGGTGAGAATCGACGAATCGACTTAATGATGGGTGAGTAGGGTTTGGGTGAGAATCGACGAATCGACTTAGTGTCGCATATGAGTTTTAGGGAATCGGCCGTCGCTGTGTTGGCTATGAGGGGTTGAGCGGGGTTGGGTAGGT